AGCCCATATCGGGGAGAGTGTAATATGATCAATTATGACAAATACTGACACATGTACAGCTTTCTTCTTTACTTTGTCTGATGACGCTCTTAAGTTCCATCACTTCTAAGGTTGCTTTGTAGGCCCCAGAAGGCCAGACTTTAAAATAAGAGAAACGGTAAGATTATACTTTGTAGAAATAGGCACATAGAATCTGAAGCTAAAGGCCCAATTTGACATCAAATTGGAAGCTTCTTTTGTAACCAAATGACCCTCCTCTAGAACGATCCCAGCTTGAAGTCATGCCATTTAGTTATTCTCAATGTAGGATCGAGTCAAACAAGACGCTCCAAATACCTCTTGTTCACCATAGATTACGAATTAAGTTATGAAATTAATTATACCAAATTATTTGATCTCATTTTTAGTCAGTCTATTGCAGTTCAAACAAGACTACTTTCAGTCTTGATCCATCTTTTAATTGGCCCTATTTTGTAAAAAATAAAAATATAGAGGATAGAAAAGAACAATAAAGCATTCTGCATAGAATAGAGCTTTACAATCGTGTCACCTTGTTACAGCGTATATCCGCAAGTGCGAGCTTCTGGTTCATGGCATTCTTTTGACCAGCTTGTGGGCGCTGTCTTTGTTTAGTCAACTGCGAACTCCACAATTTATTCTGTTCTCTTGGCGCAACATCATTCAGGCTAGAGGAGAGTTGCCGCCACCTCACAGCGTCAGGAGAAGGGGCAGGATTTGCTCTAACATAACAGACCAATTCTGCTTTGTCCTTGGTCACAGTGATATTCTCGTAATCTGGTCCGATCAATTTGGGACCATCTGAAGGTACATATTTGGAGGTATAAACAGACGTAAAAATCAGTGGGCGATTGAGTTAACAGCAACTTAATTTATTTAGAAGCATAAATTATCATACAACCATCAATCGCTATCAAGTTTTCTTTTTATTATTAATAGGATAGAGTAATAATTGATAATATAAGGTCCAGAATAAGCAAAATTTATTAGGAGGGGGACACTTTCTGTTCTATAAACCCAAAAAAGCATTCATATATCTTTCAAAAACTAAGAAATTATATGGAAGAAGATTCCAGGTCCTACTCCAGACGGCTTAGCAACATAAAATTATTGGCCTCGAACTCGAGTAATAGTCGTACGAATATTATCAATCTCTACCAAAATGTGCCATTCATAGGAGACAAGAAGGCGCTTGTTCATAGCAAACAGCTTGGATGCAAGATAAACTATAATGCTTAAGCTGTAAAAGCTT